TAATAATACTGACTTGCCTTATAGACCTGCAGTATAAATAACTAAGTAAGCATGATTAAATAGAAGTTTATAAAGCACTTGAATGAAGATTAAGGTGATGTATACTTCAAATGTGATTTGGAAAAAGTGCTTGGCCTTCAGGTAAATATTGCACTGAGCTGTTCATTCAAATAATCTGACCTTTTTCAGGTTTCCATGTAAGCCTGAAAGATTGTTTCTCCAGAGACTCTGCTCCTTAAAGTTAAGGTGACTTTTGCTGGATAAACTGAAAATATATGAAATAGATCATAATTCTTCAATGAATACCAGAGAGCTGTTTTTATAATGTCTAGTGCCAACCACATCCTCTAAGTCTTCTTTGAAGTGTGTAGAGCCCTTGTCACCTTCTAGTCACAAGGAAACAAATTTGACTCCAGGGAGACTTGTATATGTGTGTCTATAATGTTTGTGTGTAACATTTTAAAAAACAAAATAAATATAAGTAAAAGAGTAAAACTTTCCATTCTGAAACTGCAGAATTCATCACTGGGACCAGAGGTTTAGTCATTCTTAAATGGTTAAATTGCTCCTTCTGTTAGGATATTTTTCCCAGTATTCAATATACCTGCCTAAAACTTAAGTACAATTATTCCATTATTCCTTTGAACCTTTCCCCAAATGCTGCTTATGTTCTGTACTTTGGGGTGACAGAGAATTGCCCTTAATTTATTCTGTCTGGTACTCTTCAAATATTTTCAGAATGTTTATGTTTCCCTTATTCTTCTGAAACGCATTTCAGCTCAGTATCTAGTAAATAGACAAGGTAGATATCTTTGATTTTGTTTGATAACTGTTTTTCTTGGGATTTCTTTGTGTTCTTCTTGTTCTTGTTATGCTTGTATAGAACTTTCTTTAATCAAAGATTTTCACATACATTACACATACTTCTCCTTTATCTTCTCTGCTGAATTTTATAGCTGTGCTTCAAAATGGCAGCCGTTTAAGAATGCTCATTTCACTTAACCAAAATCATATATTGATCATTGCATTGTGTAGTGATTAAGCCAAAATCTAGGTTAAAATTCCAACCTACTTATGGAAGTTTCTGAGTGACTATGCTTAGTTACTCTCTTTCAGCACAACATAGGCAATAAAATGATGGAAGGCACACTTGGGAGATTCCTATATATTCTTTGAGTTCCCCACAGAAAGTTGTGGAAGGACTTTGATAAAAGACAAATTTTAAAATAAAGAAGCAGTGGACTTTGGCTTTTTGGGCACTATGTAAGTGCATGCTATAATATTGTACTCTTTTATTTTATATAGTTTCTAGGCACTTCAAAGTCTGGTCTGAAGAATACTGCACCATCAGTACAGGCCTAGGACTTATTGCAAAACAGTCAACAGATTCTTCAAAGAGAAATCTAATACAGGAGTAATTGCTCCTGTGTTAGTAAGTGAGACTGGAATTCTAAATAAAAATTTAATAATCCATAAATACGGAAGATCTTATTGGGCAGAAGGACTGTGCTTGGAAAGATGGAATTTAAACCATAAAATGAAAGTATTTCTAATGAAAATTTACTCATAAATTTGCCATGTGTTGGATTTAAATTAACACCAGATGGAAAGTGCTTTATTTCATGGAAATAAGTTTCATCATAGAGGTTTTATGATGCCTTTCAAGTTGCTTTTTGCACCTGCATCTAACATTGTGTATAAGGGGTTGACTGGAAGCCGTTTTAAAAGAACATGTATGAATTGGTAGATGGATTAGGATACTTGATTCTTGATATCTCAATAAAGTATTTTTTTAGTCTGTGACCTAATTGTGAAGAAAAATTACAAAAGCTGAATTTTATGTTTATTTATACCACATCCAGTTTTCAAATATGTACATGAAATAAGACTTTTAAAATTAAAGTATTATTTACAAATCTTTGGCTCTATAATTGCAAATTGCAGCTTAGAGATCAATAGGTTAAAGCCCTGTGTTATTTGTCAAATACCACAAGATGGCAATGTTTGAGAAATGTTATGTCCTGCTTTAATCACCTGAGTGCTTTTTAAACGAAAAGCTGTGCTAAGTAAAGGTCACCAAGGCAGAATTACTATAGAAGAATTTAAAGTCTCGATTGCCTAAAAAACATTAAAATTAGAAATTCTTGTGTGCTAATGTCAGTAGGAATGTTGCTTTAATTAATGTAATATCATAGCTTCTAATGAGAGTATATTAACTCATCGAAGTACTCCATTTTGGTATGAACATGCTTTGCAGAGCACAAAAAAGGAGTAAAAGTAGCAAAAAAACCTAATTAAGAGTAGGAGAGAAGAAACAAAGGCAACATAGGTAAAATTAGCTTGTACAAACTCCATTCATTGCATCTCTATGTATCCTTCTACCTTTACTTCCAATAAACTGCATCATGTTTTCCCTTCATTTCTTTAAACTAGTCACCTTTTCAAGGATATTATCAAATACCCCCAACCACAACTTTCTTGGACTTCCCTTTTCTTTAAATTGGTCACTTTTGTTTTCAGTCCACATTCATTCATATCTATTCATTTGTAATTATCTCTTCTGGTTTTACCACCTTATATACTTCATTCCCATTGCATTCAATTGACTGTTTTCTCTGACATACCCAACTCTCACTTTCATATAACCAAGCGAACAGATTCACACTTGTATACACAGCCACTTCTGCTACACTGGACAAACATTCATTCCTCACAACACACTAGTTTCTACCCACTATCTGTCCACCAGCAATTGTATATCTTAAATTTATTTTTTTTGGAATGAATTTTTCAAAATATACCAATTCTAACAAGGTACCCAAATTTGCTTATTTGATCTAATTTTGGGCCATTTGTGTATAGCTTGTTATAATTAATTTCATTTTCCATCTCAAACACAACTACCTTAGTCCTTCATACATTCATTTTCAGCTCCTTGTTCCTCATTGCCTCACACAATTAATCTAAATTACCATTCAGTAAATTATTTTAGTTCTCAAAAAGCATCACCTACATAGGAAAATACACATATAGACATATTCCCAACTGACATACTTCTCATATTCTCATAACCATTTATTTTATATAATAAAAGATATAGCCTTTACTATATCATTTTACAAAGCTAAGTATTGAATCATTCCCTAAGATGTTTGTTTAATCTCATTTACGCTTCATTATGTTACTCTTATTGTAGTCAGCAGCTAACCTGGAACTCCTTATTCTTGCAAAATATTCCACAATTCAAGCCTATTTACTTAATCACTTCTTTTCTCTAAACAAATACAGATGCAACAAGCTTTTTTTCCTTAATGAATGGTTGAAATGTGAAACTGTTTTGTATATGAACACTTCCCAAATTTTGTTTTGTTGAAAGGTGTCAAAATGCCTTTCTTTCGAGGATTCGATTTTCCTGCTGGGAGAGCTCCGGCGCAAGGATACGAACAACTGCTTGAAAGCTGGATCTTTTTATTTTTCAGAAAGACGGAGAACAGCGAGAAGTCTGCGTTCCTGGGCTAGCTAGCTTCTTATGGTAAGCCCCTGGTTTCTTATACCCTTTTCTCCCTTTGTAAGTTGATTTTGTGTGAGTGTTTGTATTTGTGCCTAATGTTTCAAATCCTGTTTGAGTTTGTCTTTATTTCCGTCAGAGGGCAAACTCCGCGGGGTGCAGAAGGCAAACTCTGCAGGGTGGCCAGATTGTATTATTGGTTTTCTGTAATCTCTTTTAGCTTTAAGATAGTTTTTCATATTTATTCTGTGGCAATCTCCTGTTTGTCCCTTTTGTAATTTATATTTTGTGTCTTTTGTCTGTTTGTTATTTGGTATGTCCTGTGTTTGTAAGGGTTTTCTAAATTATCTTTTCCTATTTGTCTAGTTTTCTTAATTACTTAGGCTTTTGTCTATAGGGATTCTTTAATACTTTTTATTTGATTCCTTTTCCTATGTAAGTTTGTTTTCTGGCTGACCTGATGTTCCCCTTGGGCTTTTCCTGTTTTTTGTGACACTACTGCCTTCATGAAATTCCCTTTCCACAGCTTGTTGTCTTTTTAATCAGAATTCTGCCAGATTATAGCATCTTCCAATTGTCAGATATAGACGCAGTCTTCAGATACAGTAAACATGTTGTGCTTCCATCCATATTTTAACATTTCTTGTTATATCTTTGCAGCCCCACCACTTTTTGACACGTACAATATTTGATATCTTTTTCATCACTTTTTCTTTAACTCTAATATATGTTACAGCATCCATGGATATCTAAAGTACTCCTGCTAGCAGTTTCTCATTTTAGTTTCATTTCAAATAATTTCATCTCTTCTGTAGCCAGGCCTCATTTAGCAATGGCCCCCGTTAAAAACTGTTTGCAAATACTTATGGTAGTAAATGGTAGTGAAGTTTCCCCCCCCCAACAAATGTCCACGCTTTTGTCCACATTTCTGCCCCTGACAACAATGCATGCTAGATTGAGAATAAGGCTGGCGTTGCTGCATGAGAGATCTTTATCTGAGCGAGACAGCAGCAACAGACATCTTTACAATTTGTCTCTCTCTTTCTCACACACACACACACTCTCTTAGTCATGTAGTTTGCTTAGTGACTATTTCGCTGGAATGAATTGCAGCCATTAAACAAGAAGATAATGTATTTTTAATCCATTCACTCTGCTGCAGGCCTTTATTCAATCACCTTGCGATTTTTTTTTATTTCCCTGAAATTTACTCTGTATTTTGTTCTACTTCTATCAATGAAGTTTATCAAATCCTAGAGGAGAAAATGTCAACCCGATCTGATTAAAATGGGGAACGGGAAGACTTGGAAAGAAAACCTGAATAGGCAACTCTTACCAATGCAGAGTCTTCTCAAAGACTTTTGAACACACAGGGGGCTTTCATACCATCAGTGGAGATGATATTGTGGAATTTAAAAAGTGTGGCTTCCATTTGAAATCTCTCTGGTGTATGTTGCTTCTCTTCACAAATACACTAGGAGTCCTGACCCTATGACTCAAACATAGGTTTATTTAAGACTTCCAGCATTGTCAGATAAGCACATCCTCATGTGGCTAGGATAGTATTACTTTATAATCAGAATGATTATCACAATACAAACAATACTGCTTTTATTTCCATATTGGCAGCATAACCAGAATATATTCTACATTCTTGTCATAAATTAGTATGTTTAAATAGGTATTTTGTTAGCTATATATTTATAAAAAAAGAAATCATATAATCCAGAATCCAACAATAACTATACATGTCCAAGAAACCTTTAAAACCATGTGTACTTGTCCTCTTCTATTTCTACTTTGTAGTTCAAAGATGACACCACACACTATTCCTGTCTTCTCAGGTTATTTGAATTCCAATTTATAATTGGATCACACTGAAGTACTTGACATTAAACCCCCTCAGACACCTTTATTTAGGACCTCCATCTTGACTGATTCAAAAGATTATTTTTATTAAGGAAGATTGATCTGATGAATCTGGTGATTAAAAGTGTTAAAATTAAAACAGGGAAATTCACTTTATTACTTGGCAGTAATATGTTGTTAACTGAATGCATTATCATTTTGTATGAAGAATGTTATTTTTATTGTATCTGATTGGAAAACTCCCAAGTAGTGGCAACAAGGGAGTGGATATTGACTTCTAGGCACACCGTTGATCATGAGATGAAGCACCAACAAAGATCTTAATATATTTGCATTAAGATTCTTGATTTTAAAGACAATTCAAAAGCAATTTGAATTAAATAGGCTGCTCTGGTAAATGCTTAGGATATATTTATCAATTGGAAGCTTTGTCAGCACAATATAATGGAAAATATGGCATTAAGTCACCATAGGCAATAACTTAGATTTATAATAGATACACAATTGCTGTAGCTCCAAATAATTCACCTGAACTGTGGATAAGATATGGGCTTTATTTACCAGGCATGCTATTGAATTAACCCATTTTCTTGGCTTGTAGAAATAGATTGGATTCACATCACATGCCAATTAGAAAAAAAATGAATTTAAAATTAATCAAATTTAGGATGTGGAAATCCAGCTGTTATCTTTTTAACTGACTCAATTAATTGTATTGGGTGAAAAAAGTCTCAAAGAGTAACTTTTATAAGATTTACATTCTTACTTCCATTTATCTAGTTTACAATAATCTCTGAGTAGTCTAAGAATGATATTTTTAATAAGATAGCAGCATAAATGTAGTTAAAAATAAAATTTAAAAAAGGAGAAATATATTTCTATTTCTCTCAGCACTAATTCCTTACTACTTTTTGCAAATAATCCCACACAAAATCACTGTAATTTTCAGAACAGTATATTTAATATCTTGCTTTGCTTTGGTTTCTCTAAAACAGATCTGGCAAAAGAATATCTTTACAGAAATTAGCAAACAGTATCTTGGTTAGTTTCATTGGAACTATGTATATCTTTAATCAATGGTAGGGCCCATCATCTGTCTGGATGTTCTTATACATGTATTCATATTGCAGGTAATACTTGTTTCTGTGAAGACACGAAAGACTATTCCTTGAACTTATAATCATTATTGCAATATAAAGTATTTTAAAGTTCATTTTAAGGTAGCATTCTATTTATTTTGCTGAAATAAAAGCAATATTAATTTCTGATTTTTTAAAATGCTTTTCAAGGTGATATTGTATTTTTATTTATATGTAGGAAGAAACAATTTTATTTTGATGGGTCTTCAGGAGTATGTTTGGGTTCGGCTTTCCCTTTCTCTAAGAGGATCAATTCAGTTCTTGCTGAAGATGAAACAATAGGCTCTGATGGTATATCACCTGAGGTTTCATTTTCTTCTTTCTCTTTGAGAGGTAAGGTTTCCTGAGCATCAAAGAAAGTTTCGTTTTTGTCTGTTGGACTTTCTTCACCCTTTCCTTCTTTTGAATCCGTTTCCTTTTCTTTGCCCTCTTCCTTGCTCTTTTTTGTTGGAGATGAAAAACCTAACTTAGGAAATTTAAACCATCCTGCTTTTTCAGTTTCTTTGGCAGTATCATTGTCTAATTTGGATGAATCATCAGGTTGAACTTTCTGTTGAGCTTCAGGTTTTGACTCTGATGTTGTGTCATCTGTAGAAAACCCAATACTTGGAAACCAAAGTTTAAATCCACCAGATCTCTTACTATCTTTTTCATCTGTGACCTCATCAGTGTTACTTGTAAATGCCATTTCTCCTGCAGTTTCTATAGCAGATTTAGATATCTCTATTGGTTCAGAGTGACTCTCTGCAAATTCACCAGAAGACTGTATGTCAACTGTAAAGGATTTAAGTGTTGTCAGTGTTGCAGCAGAAGAGGTCCCTTCAATATATTCATAAGTTATATCCTTATCTTTATCAGCCTTTTGTGCTGCTTCTCCTGTACCTGAAAGTTGATGATCCTTATCCTCAAATATTTCACCCATACATTTTGTAGAAGATAACTTAACGGGTACATCTAAGCTCACGTGTGATTCCTGGATTTTCACTTTGAGAAGTGAAAATCCAAAAGCAGCAGTTTTAACTTCTGATGGAGGAATCTCAGATTCTTTTACTATTTGAGTGGAGAAGGATTCCTGTATTTCAGCAATATCACCACAGCCAAAGCTAGATTTACTTTCCATCTTTATTTCTTTACTTTCAGTGATTGATCCTTTAACCTGCACTGTTTCACTTGAACTAAATGGATCATCAGGCTGAAGTTTAATTTCAAGTGGTGCTGTTTGAATATCTGGCTCCTTCAGTGTTGTAATTTTAGCGATTGACTTTTGAATGTTACTGTCCATAGTGTCCATTTTCTCTTTAAGAAATTCAGCACTAAATTCCTTTGGCACTTGTTTATGCACATACATTGTTGTACCCACAAAAGAAGAGTCCGTAGATTGGAATTTACTTCCAACTTGTGGTCTCTGAATGGCAGGTTCAGACAATGTTGTAATTCTGGCTTTTGATTTTTGAATATCATCTCCTTTTTCTTCAGGGAACATAGTCTTGAACTGCAATTGAGAAATATCACCATCGGCAGTATCCTTTATATCCACTGTCTCTTCTGAAGTCAGTTTTTCTCCTTCAGAAATTCTATGTGTGAACTTGAGCATTTTGAATTTGGGCTTTTGGAAACTTTCTTCTGCATCTCCAAGTTTTTTATCCTGAAATTGGATTCCTGACGTTTCTCCCTCAGGTCTAACTAATGACACCTCCGTCTGCACTTTTGGTGAATCAACCTGCATTTCTCCACCCTGAGATTTACTGCGCAAGTTGGCAAATTTTGGTATCTTGAATTTAGATGCTTTCATTTTACTTGTTTTCTCTTTCTCTTCTGCTTTCACTTCACCTTCTTTAGGCAAATCTTTTTCAAAGCCCTCAACTGGGAAATCAATGATTTCAAAGTCTTCATCAGTGATTGAAACACCTACTTTAACTTTGGAAAGAGTAACAGCAGGCTCTTCTAGGTCAGATTCAATACCAGGAACAATGGCATCACTCTTTGTGGTAGACCACCCAAACAAAGGCATACTGAATGTTGGCATTTTGAATATACTTTCTTTTCCCTGAGAATCCTTTTTTGGTGACTTCTTTTCAGCCCCCATTTCTTCAGCTTGTCTATCAAGACTTTGCAAAGGTTCTGGGTCTGTAATAGAAGCATCAATTTTCTTTTCCATAGTAATTTCAGTAGGTGGTATCTCAGCCACTGCCATAATGTCTGGTATGACTTGGGGTTGCTGAATAGTCATCTTAGTTTTAGGGATGTTTCTATCAATATCCATCTTTGGGATAGTGCCACTGAACTCAGTTTGAGAACTTTGTCCTTCTGCACCATCTTTAACTATATCAGCATATGTTTTGTGTTCCAGGTCACTAGATTTCCTGCCAATTTTTTCTGAGGACTGTAAAAAACTGCCTTCATCCATTAATTGGTCAGTGGTAGACTGCTGTTCTTTCTGTACTCTAACATCCTCTTTAGGAAGCATGACTTTTTGTTCTGAGGTGTTTTTTTCACTGTCAAGTTCCCTTGAGATGGTTACAACTTCAGGAGATTTTACTTCAGCTTGTAATTCAGTAACATGAGCTTCTCCAGTGATGTCTTCAATTTCAGCACCACTTCTTTTTGCCTTTGAAGTGCGACCAAATGAAGGCATTTTGAATTTGGGCATTTTAAACCAACTCTGAGATTCCTCAGTCTGAATTTCTTCAGAAGTTCCTTCATCACTTTTAACTTGTAAGGGCTGAGTTTTTCCACCAAGTTCCTCAGATTCTGTAGTCATTTGAAACTGAGAAGCATCAGATTCAGGTTTTGATAAAGTGATTCCACTGCCTGACAGATCTGAAATTTCACTTTCTGACAGATCTGAAATTCCAAACTTTGGCATTTTCAGTTTTGGCATCCTAAACTCCCCTTCTGTACCATCAGACTTCACACTTGCACTGTCCAAACAAATGTCACCTTTGAACTCTGTTTCTAAACATTTCTGTTCAAATGAACTTTTTGTCATGGACACCTTAGTATCAGTTTTGAGTAAGCTGATATCTGGATCTGTCTGGAATGTTTTGATTTCTTTGATGTCACCTTTCAGCATTTTTACACTTATTTCTGTCTCCTCTACTTTTCTTGTAGTAAAACTGTTTTCTATGTCAGGTATTTGCACCAAAGCTCCATCACCTTCCACTACTGTATCTACTTCTGCTTTTGGTAGCTTTGTCTTAGACAGTGAGATTTTGGGCATACTTAAATGAGGTCTTTTTACTTGACTTTTTTTGGTGGCTATGTCTACATTTCCATCAGTATGAGCTCCTTGATCTTCTGAAAGAGTTACTTTTGGTTCTGTGCCTGTATCAACTGATACTATACCAAGATTAGATTCTTGTAGAGGTTCTTTTATATTTGTTTTAAGGCTTGCTTCCTTTTTAGGGGACCAGCTCAATGATGGCAATTTGAATTTTGGCATTTTGAAATGTCCTTTTTCTTCTCCATCTAAACTTTCTCTCTTAGTTATTTGTCCCTTAGCTTTTGGCTCCTTAGCTGCACCATGTAAATCCTGAGTGCTTACCTCTGACTGTGTGACAGAAATATCAACAGATGGTATGCCTACTGCTGAAGTCTTCACATCAGCTCTAATAATTTGGGGCATTTTTATTTTCTGTTCCAAAACATCCTTTTTTTCACCAAGTACATCAGACTCCATTTCAAGTGTTGAAGCTTCCACTGCAATATCAATAATATCCGCTGTTGTTTTCAGCTGGGGAACGTCAACATCCTTGGATAGGCCAATAGCAATATCTGGAATTTTTCCTTTAAAAAATGAGATCCCAGAGTTAGTGATTTGATATTTTACTTTTTACTTTTCTTTTAATTTAACTGTAGTTTTTAATTTTAATTTCTGTTCCACTTACAAATATTTCAGTCTCTCTACTCTAATTCCCAATACTTTCATTTTAGGAACCTTAATTCCTGCTACTGGTTTATCATTTCTGTCATCGACATCATCTGGTTATAACTCTCATTTTAAAAACTGACATCAAGTGAAAGAACTTAAGACTTTAGGTAAACTGATTTCCATATCTACTGTAGAAGCTTTAATTGCTGGTCTAAAATGTTCTGTTCTTGGAACTTTGGTCATTTTAATACTTTTCTAATATAATTGTCAATGGTTTCTTTATCTAATGTTTCTTGTGAAATATCTTTTTCTTCCTTAAAAACAGACACTGTCATGTCATTATTCAGCAACAGCACACAGGTATTTCAGCTTCATTTTTGGCAAACTAGAATGAAGCCTTCTAATAGTCCTTTCTTCCATAGTTAGTTTTAATTAAAAAAATCTATTCTTGTTTAAACTGTAAATGAGGGATCTTCTCTGCTTGTATTAATAGCAGTGGAACCATTAGATTCTTTCTTGAATTCCAACTAAGTAAAATTTGAATTTTGGCATCTTACGTTTATTTTTTTCTCATGTCTTTAATTAATTAATTTCATTTTTTTTATATTACTGCTGCTTAAATCTTAGCACTTGATTATGTAATATAAAATATCTTCAGATGGAAGGACAATATTTATCTCTGAACTTTTAATACTGGATTTAACATAAGGATACTTCAGAGATTTCAGATGATCTGACATCTAAAATTTGCATCAGAAATATTATCTCAGTCCTGCATACATTTATCTTTGAAGAGTCAGCCTTTCTCTTAGGTGTGCTAAAAATCAGAATCAATTGATACACTTTTAGCTCCTAAATTTGAATATATGTAGACAATAAAGGTTAAGTCAAAACCAGCCCAACTCACCAGAATAATATTGCTAGTAGGCAAGTTTTCACTTTTGTCAGATTTAAAAGGAGCTATTTAAATCTTTGAGAAACCAAACTAGGTACATAAAAACTTAAACTGGTATTTATCCTACCAACATGACAGTGAGATTCCAAAATATCTATGTCAATACAGGAACTTCTGTATCAGACCTTTCCAAACTACAGTAAGTTAATTCTGATAACTTAAGTTCCTTCACACAAATAAAACTACATTTACAGTAGATTTAGCGTGATAGGAACAACTTGCAATTCTGGTCTTAATATTTTCTTCAGACAGAATGTCAGTAGGAAGAAAATGTTGCAAAAGAATAAACAATACACTTAGGCTCTAAACTTTATTACATTTCTTAAGATTTTTCTAATGATCTAGAACTATTTTCAATGTTAGAATCCAACATTAATAATTCATGAAATCAGCACTGCAATCAACAGCTGCTTTGAATACTTCTGTTTCTATTAAAGGCAAGACGACTTTTTCCTTTATTGCCATATTCCCATTAGAAGGGAAACTGCGAATCTCCATAGACATTAGAAGAGAAATTTCCAACTTTGGCATTTTGAACTTAAATCCCCGCACTTTCCATCTTAACCTTGCCCCCCCACCCCAATTTGCCAAATGGAGACTATACTTTTAAGTCAGGAGTTTTCAGTTCCATGATCACCTGGAATCTTTACATCAGATGATGAAAAACTAATGCCAGCCCTGGATTCTAGTATCTTCAACTGAAATTTGGTTGATGTCCAGGTTGACTTGGGCCCCTACCTTCTGATTTGGATTATTCCATGCTGGATATCTTGAACTTGGGTGTGGGAATTTTCATCTCACTTCCCTCAATTATGCTTTCAGCCTCCACCACTAATATTGGCCTTGATTTTTTGAGGCAGGGGGAAGGGAATCAATTTTCCTTTAAGAAGGAAGATATTTGTCTCAATTTATGACAGGGAGATCTTTACTTCTGGAGACTTCAGCTTGGGCACTTTGATGCTAGCTATATTGATTCCAGACATTTTGCTTTCACCCTTCTCTTATCTCCATATCCAGGTTGGCAGCCTCAATTTCCACTTCTGGCAGTTTTTCAGCTTCAAGTTCATCAACTAGGATTTCAGATTATATGCTTTGGTCTGCTTCTATGGAAGGTAGGGAGATTCCTCTCTGTGTAACATTTTCCCCCATGGTAAGGAAAATTCCCAGCAAAGGCATTTGAACCTTTGAACTTACTACCCTACCACCAAGATCAAAAACTCTCCCCTGCACAACAATCTTACCTGAAGAAGCTTGTACTTCTACACCGGGAGCTTGCAGCTCCACAGTGACTGGGACCCATGGAATCTTTACTTCAGGGGCTGCTATTCTGATGTCGCCCTCGAATTCATCTGTCTTAAGCTGGGGTTTTGTAGTGCTGAGCTCAACTTTTGGAAGAGAGGTGTGTACATCAGGCATGCTGGCATCAGAATCTATTTTGGGGCCCTTGATATCAGATTTGGAGAATCCCATACTGGGCATCTTGAACTTTGGCATGTGTATTTTCATCCTGCCTTTCTCACGACTACCTTCTGCTTCTGCCGCTTTGCTAGCAGCCTCAGAATCAGGCAGCTCAGCTTTAGCTTTAGGAAGGGAGACATCCCCCTCAACCTTTGGAAGGGAGATGTCAACTTCTGGTGCAGTGAGCTTGGGGGGCTTCACACTAGGCAAATTCACCCGAGGAGTTTTGATCTTGCCTTTCTCTTCAACTTCCACATCTAGGATTGGGGCCTCCCTGTTCATTTCTGGAACAGTAATGTCAGCTTCAAGCTCTGAAGAAGGCAAAGTGATTTCCATTTTAAGTCCTGTTTTGGGAAGGCCTCCTTCCATGGAAGGTATGGTAACTTCTCCATCTGAAAAACCTTTTCCTTTGGGTCTTGAAATTCCAATTTTGGGCATTTGGACCTTGGACATTTTGAATTTACTATCCCCACTTTCAAGTTGAACATCAGGCACTTGCACAGCCATAGAGGAAGGAGGCTTGATTTCAGTGCGAGGACATCTCACTTCCAAAGAAACTTGCCCAGTTGGAATTATTATTTCAGGGGCAGCCATATCAATGTAACCCAGAGGTTTGTCCCATTTCAGCTCAGGTTTGGCAGGACAGAGCTCAGCTTCAGGAAGAGAAGCTTCCACTTTAGGCATACTGACATCCACATCGACTTTGGGACCCTTGATATCTGGTTTGGAGAATCCCATACTGGGCATCTTGAACTTTGGCATGTG